AAGCCCCTAAACCCTCTGTTTTATTCATGAGCATGAAGGCTATTGGACTCTAAGAAACCCCTGTGGTCTCGCCCACTACATCAAGGTTGCATGTCGCATCCATGGAAGGTCGCTGTGTTTTTTTTACATGCCACATTGATGCCACATTAAAAGGCATCAGAGATTAACTACTGCTGTCATTTGAAAACATGCAAACAAATTCTTGACCTTAATACAATGACACATCAAACCAGTGGCCATATTGAAAGATGTTAATGAGCAAACCATCGTTCGACTCAGGGAATCCTGCTAGAAATGTCCATTTTGCGGTTCAGGGCTTTGTTTGAGCAACCAGGGGAAGAGTTGGTGTAGGAACTTTGCACAACTGTTGAGGACATGCATTGTTGTCAATAATCATTTGGTAACTGCAATAGACAGAGGCAGAGGCTCTTAAGGGAGAGTGATGCAGTGGACACACAAATGGAAGCGTTACACTAGAGCAGTGCAGAGCCTGAGAAGTCGATGGTAGCCACAGGTAGCCATCTGTTATTATGAAGATACTGCTACAACTGAATACAATGTTATGTAACACTGGTAAAGTGCAACTGGGCACCAACAAAGCATAAATATATATGCATGGATGTTCCACAAATGGCCTTGGACACATGGCAAAGTGGTTGTGCAAAATATTTTTTAAACAATATTTCTCATCATGTGCTCATGGCCAGTTTTAAGTATGGAAAATATACAAGTCGCCAAAGGGTAAAAAGCACAGAACCAAAAATGTTAATGATGGAGACAAAGAGATATAAATATAAAGCTGAATTGCTAAAGCTATGATTATCAAAATGCTTCCTTCAGCAGATCCAGTTTTGAATACAAAGTGTGAAGCATGAAAAAGATGCTTTTAATTTGTAGCATTCCCATTTAACAAGTATAGAATCAAACATGAACGTGTTCCTATACCAGTGAGAGGGGAATAATGGGCTATTTGTAATTATGATGATAAAAAGCAATGATAACAAAGTTGCTACTGTGACAGAAATTATCCAGTAGGTCATTTATTGCTTTTCCTGTTTTAATTGCCCTTTAAAACTACTAGATGTGTCTCTCAATGTCAAGCTGTAGTACATGTGGAATTCAGAGCCATGTGTCCTTGTTTATTCAGTTTGTCTGGGTGCCAGCGTTTCCTAATTGTCCTCTCTGAATTTAGCAACTTGGTCTCTCATCATTACTGTGACACTGAAGTCCTAATGAGCGAAACTGTTATCTGAAAGATGCCCCCCTCTTTTCCCTGCTGTGAAAGCACATTAGATCTAGACAGTTCATTTCCATTCTCCCTGTCATCTCTCTAGAAATGACGTGCAGTGCTTGAAACTGTTTATTTCCAAATTCAGACCTCCTCCGCGGCAGCCATCGGCTTCAATTACCAGTTTTTCCTGAGCGGAGCCATCAGGCAGCCTGACACTGAGGTCCAACCTAATTCCCACCTTCTCCAAAGTCAAGAGTATAATGTGCAGATAAAAAAGGTGGAAAATAACCTGCCGCTCATTAGCATGCAGCGCCTGCCTGTTCATTTGCTTGCTGCGAATGAAAGTTCTGACACTCAGCGCCTTGTGCAATATGAATATAGTCCTCTTCAGACTGCCTCCCGTCCTTACTGCCATGGAAAGGTCATCGGCAGAGGTTTGCGCTTAGCAACCTGGCTTGCTGCTCTTCACTAGTCCACCTGGGAGAGGGGTTAGCTGGGGGTACTGATTCAGGGAGAGCCTCATTACCTGCTGAATCAACATATTATTGCCATGTTTCACCCAGCCGAATTGTTTACAAGTGTCTTTAGCGCGGGCAAAAGCCTGCTCTGGTGGGCCATGACCGCATTCATTAGTCCCTGACCCCGGTGATTATGTGTTATCTGATACGCTGCTATCTGGCTTGGCCGCATGAGCAGGGCCACTGGCCTGCATTGGCCTGGGCCCATTACAACCCTTCTCTTTTTCTCTCTCCATTTTCCTCTCCCTCTGCCCCTCGATCCCTCTTTTTCTGTGTCTGTGCTCCCTATGAATGTATCCATTAGCCTGCCAATGTGTAAATTGTTTTCACCTGCACTGCGGGCAGATGGGGAGCGGTGTCTCTGTCGTGATTTCCTATGCATGAGCTTTCTAATCAGTCAGAGAGTAACACGATTCCCTTGTTTCTTGCTAGAAAAGGTGAGCTTGCGTGAGCATGCACACATACATTACATGCAGACATGCACGCCCTCATGTTCCCGCACTCACAATCTGCAATCAATATGCACGCTGTGTTGTGGGGATATTGGTGCAGTTGTAGCGGTGACAGGGTTCATTATATGAGTTCGCCTTACAACAAGGTGATGGCTTAATACAGACGAGAGGCCCTGAGCTGATCCTTGCCTCTGCCATTCCCAATTTCAGTTCAAATTGAAGGATAATTTGACCTGGAAGACTAAACCCACATAAGCGCAATGACATCCAGTAGCAGTGTCAACTGACTGTGACCTATGGAAGAGACAGGAGAGGATGCCCCTGAAGCAACCAACTAGAGCATTCCCTAATGTCTCAATGTTGATATCGCATGTGCCCAGTGGGCCTCTCCTGGAGGACTGGGTCAAATGGGTCATCCATTACAACTTTGCTAAAACAGCAAAACTAATGGTGGCCTAAGACTTTTGCACAGTACTGTGCATATATATGTTTTATTTGTATTTTTTAAACAATGCGCCTTAACACAGTTTAGTACAGCCTCAACTTCTTCTTGCAACCAAAAAGGCAAGCATTAAAATTTAGTTCCCCTCCACCCCCCTCTATTTTGCCAGCTTTCTTTTTCATAAAATTATAAATGGGGTTTGTTGCAGCTTTTCATCCACTTGATAGCACTTAACTAATTGCTATCCTCTCATAGGCAAAAATGTACTCACAAAACACAAATGCTTTATGTA